GCAGAAAAGTAATCTTGGAATGTGTCTTTCTCCTGCAAAGTTCGTTGCTGCTGCGTCTCCTTCTCTATAAATACAAATGTAAAGCTTAATTAGCCTACCTTAAATTAGCACCAAAGTAAGCCTAGACAGAAAGTCACGGATATACAGTACCAGTCAAAAGTTTGGACATTTTTTTTACTATTTCTTACATTGTAGAATAATATTAAAGACATCAACTATTAGATAACAAATATGGAATCATGTACTAACCATAAAAGTGTTAAACAAATCAAAATATATTTTATATTTGAGATTCTTCAAATAGCCACCCTTTGCCTTGATGACAGCTTTGTACACTCTTGGCATTCTCTCAACCAGCTGAATGAGTAGGTGTGTCCAAACTTTTGACTGGTAGTGTAGGCCTAACCAGATGTAGCCTATGTTTTTAATACAGGCCTAAATCGGCACGAAAATACATTGAAATTAATTTAATTGTCATATGAGCTCCACAAAACATGAATTGATGGCCTTTTCAATTATTCTAATATGAATAATAAACAGGGCTAGATCATGAAACTAAATGTGTATTTTTAAAAAATCTTTCTATATTTAGACCTAAAGCAGGGGTGTCCCAATCCTGTTCCTGGAGAGCTACCCTCCCTGTAGGTTTTCGCTCCAACCCCAGTTGTAACTAACCTGGTTCAGCTCATCAACCAGCTAATTATTAGAATCAGGTGTGCTAGATTAGGGTTGGAGCGAAAACCTACAGGACTGTAGCTCTCCTGGAACCGGGTTGGAGAGCCCTGGCCTAAAGGTTTTTTGGCAAAATAACCCTATCAAAACGGAAAGTTCCTTGAAAGAGGTAATATGTCAGGACTATTGGGCCAGAATCAATGATAGCCTATTGTATAGATAATAGAACGAAAATGAACAAAACTTTTAAGAGATTTGATTTTTGGTGTATAAATACTTTGCTACAATAACACACTTAGCTAGCTACCCACCTCATTCCTTTCTGTTAGCATGTGCACGTAGTACACCATCATGCTTTCGGGATACGTGTCTTTTCAGGCTCCACAATGATTATTTAGTTGTGGACACTACATCACCACACTCCCTCTCTTGCTCTTGGTCCTCATCGTTGTAAGCCACCTTGATTTTGCACCGGTGTGTTTTCAGTTTCTTGATTTTAAAATATTTAACGAACTCCATGACCGTAGCTAAAGCAAGGGGCTATTAGCAGCACACAAGTAGCCTACAAATGCATGCTGGGCCGGGCATGCCCTAAGCTCGTGAAGTGAGCGCTAATGGAGAGGTACTTGAGTGGAATTGGAGGGGGAAAGTAAGCCCACACTCCAGCCTTTGGGGTAACCCGCTCCGTGCTCCAGTCAAATTGGGCACGCTCTGCTCCGCTCACATACTCTGCTCTCGATCACAGGTGAAGGACCTTTTTTAAACGAACAAAAATACGTCTACAAGAAGTTGTTACAACAACAAGAAAATAGCTTCAAGTGTTGTGTCCAAATAACCGGTGGAGCCAACTAGTAAAATAATGGACGATCTGACCAGAGAGGTCCAGGACCTGAAGAACAGTTTGCAGTTCACCCAGGGTCAGCTCGATTAGTTTAATTAAAAAGAACAGCAAGATGACAGCAATCGGTAAGTCATTGAGAGAGGACATCAGTTCTGTAGTTGAATCCATGATAACAATGACGGAGAAATCTGATTATCTCGAGGGACAATCAAGGCGGAACAACATTGTTGTGGAGAGACCTGGACGGAGTCTGAGGACGAAGTGAGAAATTATTTAGGAGAAACTGAAGCTGGACTGAAGGAAGATTGAGGTGGAGCGCACCCACAGGACTGGAAAACCCATCACCGGCCCAGGTGACAGGCCCAGGCTGATAGTGGTCAAGTTCCTGAGGTTCAAGGACAAGGTATCTGTTCTGGACAGAGCCAAGAACTTGAGAGGAACGTACAGTATATCTTCCTCAACGAGGACTATCCTGAAGCTGTGTGCCAGAAGAGGAAAGAACTTATCCCAGCCATGAAAGCTGCCAGAGCACGTGGGGATGTTGCTTACATCTGCTATGACAAGCTCATTGTCCATCCTCCTTCCCAAAAGCCTGGAAGCTTCAACCCTGCAGCACACACACACACACCAACTGGTTGATGGACTGCTGAATGGTTTTTTTTCTCTTTGTTTGTTATTTTCCATATTATGTCTATCTCTGATGAGCTACCCAGGAAAGGACTGAAAATAGCCCATATTAATATATGTAGCCTTAGAAATAAGGTTAATGAAATCAATAACTTGCTAACATCATATAACATTCATATTAGCCATTTCTGAGACTCACTTAGATAATTCCTTTGATACAGCAGTAGCAATATAAGGATATAACATATACAGAAGAGACAGGAATGCCTATGGGGGAGGTATTATATATATATTCAGAGCCATATACCTGTAATGCTTCGAGAGGATCTCATGTCAAATGTTGTTGGAGTGTTGTGTGTCATTTTGGGGTGTTGCTATAAGCCACCAAGTGCTAACAGTTAGTATCTAAATAATGCGTGTGAAATGCTTGACAGTGTGTGTGTATATGTGTATATGTGTGTGTGATAAGAGAGAGGTCTATTTTCTGGGTGACCTGAACATTGCCTGGTTAGCAACTAGCACTCCTCTCAAGGGGAAGCTTCTAACTGTGACTAATGCCTGTAATACGACCCAGGTTATCACTCAACCAACTAGTGTTGGATTTGTATTGATCATATCTTCACTAATGCTGCGGAGCTTTGCTCCAAAGCAATATTAGTTCCCATTGGCTGTAGTGAGTGACCATAACATTGTGGCAACAACAAGGAAAGCCGACGTGCCAAAGGTTGGGCCTAAAGTAATTTTATAAGAGATCATACTAAATGTTTTTCCTCAGGACTCTTGTTGAAGATTTGAAAAATGTGTGTTGGTCTGATGTGTATGAGGAAGTGAATCCAGATGCAGCACTGGAAGTATTTGTAGAAATATTAATGCACATTTTTTACAAGCATGCATGCATGCATGCATTGAATTGTAGAGCCCTCTGGAATGAAATGGAAAAATGGTATGGTTAAAAGAAATGATGCAAAAGAGATGGCAAACAAGTCAGGCTGCTAAGATGATTGGTTGACATACTGTAAATTGAGACATTTTGTGACTGACTAAACAAAAAGAACACAATGGAAAAATACTTTGGAGTATCTTAAATTATATCATGAGCAGAAACTCCATAAAACCTTTCGATATTGCCAATAATTTCAATGACTTTCACTAAATAAAGTGGAAAATCAGAAGAGAAATTACAACATTGAACATCCAATGATAATGAAAGGATTGCTGTTTTGAATTTGGCCAAGTTAGTGTGGGAGAGGTGGAAAAACTATTGTTATCCATCATAATGATAAGCCACCAGGTATAGACAACCTTGATGGGAAGCTATTGAGAATGGTAGCAGACTGTATTGCCACCCCTATTTGCCATGTCGTTAACCAAAGCCTAAAGGAGTGTGTATGTTCCACAGGCGTGGAAGGAAGCTAAAGTAATTCCACTGCCTAACAATAGTAAAGCACCCTTTGCTGGCTCTAACAGCCACCCAATCAGTTTGCTGCCTGCTCTTAGTAAACTGATGGAGAGAATTGTGTTTGACCAAATACAATGCTATTTTTTAAAAGAACAAGTTAACTACTGACTTTCAGCATGCATATAGAGAAGGGCACTCAACTTGTACTGCACTGACTCAGATGACAGATGATTGGTTAAAATAAATGGATAATAACATGATAGATGGAGCTGTATTGTTAGATTTCAGTGCAGCCTTTGATGTTATTGATCATACATTGTTATTAAATAAACTCACTTGCTATGGCTTTACATCACCTGCCATCACCTGGCTGGAGAGTTAAGCCTATTTAACCAATAAAACCCAGAGAGTGTTCTTCAGTGGAAGCTTCTGTAACATCAGATATGTACAGTGCGGTGTCCTTCAGGGCAGTTGCCTTGGGCCGTTACTCTTCTCTATTTTTACTAATGATTTGCCGCTGGTCTTACACGAAGCTAGAATGACTATGTATGCAGATGATTCCACACTCGACATGTCAGCACCCAAAGCCAGTGAGCTCACTGACATTCTAAATAAGGAGTTAGAGTCAGTATCGGAATTGGTGATTTAATAATAAACTGGTCTTAAATACATCTAAAACTAAAAGCATTGCAATTGGTTCAAAACATTCTCTAAGACCTAAACATCAACTGGAGTTCTGTATAAAGGGTGTGACCATTGAGCAAGTTGAGGAAGCTAAACTCCTAGGTATAACATTGGATGGTCAATTATCATGGTCAAGTCATATTGACAAAGTTGTTATTGAAGACCAGGTGATTGATGACGTGGCAGGTTGCAGCGTGGTAGGCACAGTTTGTCCCATGAATTAATCATAAAAATTGAGGATTAGCTGATAACTGCTAAACAAACATTCTGGATAATATAGAGAACCTTGAACTATTAATTGATCAGCAATTTGATATGCTCGAAAAAGAATCAGATACATCAAAGCGAACAAGAGAATACCTTTCCTCGAGCTCTGCGAGCGAATCTGAAGGGAAGCCGCTGTCTAAAAATTCCAAATGTAACATTGGAGGGGGACGTTTTTAATAACTATGTCTGCAGAAGATATAGTGTTGCTTACAGCCATGAGCGAGCAGTTAAAACAGCTGCATACAGTTGGGAAAAAAGTATTTAGTCAGCCACCAATTGTGCAAGTTCTCCCACTTAAAAAGATGAGAGGCCTGTAATTTTCATCATAGGTACACGTCAACTATGACAGACAAATTGAGGGAAAAAAATCCAGAAAATCACATTGTAGGATTTTTTATGAATTTAATAATAATAATAATAATAATAATAATAATAAAACAGCAGCATCTATTGCCTGGGCTACTGGGGGAGGTTGAGGCCTTAAAAACAGGAATGGATTAGAGTAATAAAATGACAGAAGAAATACGAGCGGAAAATAAGATAGAAAACTACCGTGGACTCCCTAGAAGACACTACAGAGAGGCTACGGTATGATAATAAAACATTGAAAGCCGAATTACTTGATCTAAAGTGCAGAAGTATGAAGAATATTGGAAATAAAGGAGGATGAAAATGAAAACACCTCACAGGTCCTCAACTGGCAGCTTCATTAAATAGTACCCGCAAAACACCAGTCTCAACGACAACAGTGAAGAGGCGAAAACGCAGGAAAAAGTCAAGGTGTTCATGAAATGTAATCTCAAGATGACGGACGAACAGGTGGATACGATTGATTTTCAAAGGGCTCACTGTTTTCGGGTGGCAGAGCGGTGGGAAGGCCCCGTCCGATCGTAGCTACGCTAACTCACTACAAAATGAAGGTTGTCTTGTTACAACAGGGTAGGGACCTGAAGAACACCCCGTTCTCTATTAATGAACAATTTCCCCATGAAATAGTGGCGAGACGATGTGCCCTGTACCCCACTTTCATAAGGCTCCGAGCAGAGAAGCAGAATTTACGTCTAGTGGGCGCCTCATAAAAAAATATAGAAAAATCATCATAGAAAAAGCCATATTTCAGACTGCCCATCTTAATCTTTTCTTTTTATTGGCCAGTCTGAGATATGGCTTTTTCTTTGCAACTCTGCCTAGAAGGTCAGCATCCCGGAGTCGCCTCTCACTGTTGATGTTGAGACTTGTGTTTTGCGGGTACTATTTAATGAAGCTGCCAGTTGAGGACCTGTGAGGTGCCTTTTTCTCAAGCTAGACACTAATGTATTTGTCCTCTTGCTCAGTTGTGCACCGGGGCCTCCCACTCCTCTTTCTATTTTGGTTAGACAGTTTGCGCTGTTCTGTGAAGGGAGTAGTACACAGCGTTGTACGACATCTTCAGTTTCTTGGTAATTTCTCGCATGGAATAGCCTTCATTTCTCAGAACAAGAATAGACTGACGAGTTTCAGAAGAAAGTGATTTGTTTCTGGCCATTTTGAGCCTGTAATCGAACCCACAATTGCTGATGCTCCAGATACTCAACTAGTCTCAAGAAGGCCAGTTTTATTGCTTCTTTAATCAGCACAACAGTTTTCAGCTGTGCTAACATAATTGCAAAAGGGTTTTCAAATGATCAATTAGCCTTTTTAAAATGATAAACTTGGATTAGCAAACACAACGTGCCATTGGAACACAGGACTGATGGTTGCTGATAATGGACCTCTGTACGCCTATGTAGATATTCCATTAAAAATCAGCCGCTTCCAGCTACAATAGCCATTTACAACATTAACAATGTCTACAATGTATTTCTGATCAATTTCATGTTATTTTAATGGACAAAGAAATTGCTTTTCTTTCGAAAACAAGGACATTTCTAAGTGACCCCAAACTTTTGAACTGTAGTGTATATGTAGAAGAAAAGCTGTAAAAAAATTTAAAAAGTGTCCTCCGAAGAGGATGGGTTAAATAAAATTTAAAAAATGTGAAAATGGTGAGGGGTTGTTTATAAAAAATATATTCTGCGTTTTTGACACAAATCAATTGTACTAGTTATTCAGGCTCTGGTCTTGTCCCATCTTGATTACTGTCCGGTAATATGGACTAGAATAGAGAATATGGTTAAGTGCAGCAAAGAAAGACCTAGCAAAGCTGCAGCTCTCTCAAAACAGAGCAGCACGCCTTGCCCTTAACTGCACATACAGAACTAACATCAACAACATGCATGCCTGTCTTTCCTGGTTGAGGGTTGACGAGAGATTAACTGCATAAATTCATGTTTATGTGAGAAATATTGTTTACATTTTCCAAATTGTCCGAATAATCAACATACATACAACTCTGACAGACATACAGTCGTGGTCAAACGTTTTGAGAATGACACAAGTATTGGTCTTCACAAAGTTCGCTGCTTCAGTGTTTACAGTGTTTTTTGTCAGATGTTACTATGATATACTGAAGTATAATTACAAGCATTCCATAATTGTCAAAGGCTTTTATTGACAATTACATTAAGTTTATGCAAAGAGTCAATATTTGCAGTGTTGAACCTTCTTTTTTGAAGACCTCTGCAATCTGCCCTGGCATGCTGTCAATTAACTTCTGAGCCACATCCTGACTGATGGCAGCCCATTCTTGCATAATCAATGCTTGGAGTTTATCAGAATTTGTGGGTTTGTGTTTGTCCACCCGCCTCTTGAGGATCGACCACAAGTTCTCAATGGGATTAAGATCTGGGGAGTTTCCTGGCCATGGACCCACATTTTCGATGTTTTGTTCCCCAGGCCACCTAGTTATCACTTTTGCCTTATGGTAAGGTGCTCCATCATACTGGAAAAGGCATTGTTCGTCACCAAACTTTTCTTGGATCGTTGGGAGAAGTTTCTCTCGGAGGATGTTGGTACCATTCTTTATTCATGGCTGTGTTCTTAGGCAAAATTGTGAGTGAGCCCACTCCCTTGGCTGAGAAGCAACCCCACACATGAATGGTCTCAGGATGCTTTACTGTTGGCATGACACAGGACTGATGGTAGCGCTCACCTTGTCTTCTCCGGACAAGGTGTTTTCCGGATGCCCGAAAAAATATCAGTCTGTCCCTGATGTTTTTTCTGGAGAGAAGTGGCTTCCTCGCTGCCCTTCTTGACACCAGGCCATCCTCCAAAAGATTTTGACTCACTGTGCGTGCAGATGCACTCACAACTGCCTGCTGCCATTCCTGAGCAAGCTCTGCACTGGTGGTGCCCCGATCCCGCAGCTGAATCAACTTTAGGAGACGGTCCTGGCGCTTGCTGGACTTTCTTGGGCGCCCTGAAGCCTTCTTCACAACAATTGAACCTCTCTCCTTGAAGTTCTTGATGATCCGATAAATGGTTGATTTAGGTGCAATCTTACTAGCAGCAATATCCTTGCCTGTGAAGCCCTTTTTGTGCAAAGTAATGATGACGGTACGTGTTTCCTTGCAGGTAACCATGGTTAACAGAGGAAGAACAATGATTTCAAGCACCACCCTCCTTTTAAAGCTTCCAGTCTGTTATTCTAACTCAATCAGCATGACAGAGTGATCTCCAGCCTTGTCCTCGTCAACACTCTCATCTGCGTTAACGAGAGAATCACTGACATGATGTCAGCTGGTCCTTTTGTGGCAGGGCTGAAATGCAGTGGAAATGTGTTTTTGGGATTAAGTTCATTTTCATGGCAAAGAGGGACTTTGCAATTAATTCTGGAGTATATGCAGATTGCCATCAGAAAAACTGAGGCAGCAGACTTTGTGAAAATTCATATTTGTGTCATTCTCAAAACGTTTGACCACGACTGTACTTACCCCACCAGACATGCCACCAGGGATCTCTTCACAGTACGCAAATCTAGAACGAATTCAAGGCAACTGACATTATTATACAGAGCCATGATGACATGGAACTCCCATCTCAAATTACTCAAACCGCAAAATAAAAAACAAATAATGCAACACAACGCCTCTCCCCTATCTGACCTAGTTGTAATGTCTATGTTAATGTTTTTAAAAGTATATACATCTTAAAGTATTTTTGTCTGTAATATCTTTTTGGTTATGTGTCGGACCCCAGGAAGACTAGCTGTCGCTATTGCCGTCGGCTAATGTAACGTGGATCCCAATAAAATCTATAATGTTCCTCTCTTCTGAGTCTTCACCAGTAAATTAGGCTACTCCCTCTCACTAGCTTTCCTTCTCTACTTCTTCCTCTCTCGTTCCCCTTCTATCTCGGTAACAGTGTTCTATTGTGTTGCTAGGGGCTGTTGATGTCACTGAGGTAGCTGTAACATTCCTAAATCAATCTTTGGTCTCTCAGCGGGCTTTCTGTAGCTCTCCTGTGTGTCTGTCTGTGTTTTGTGAATGTGCAGGCCTGTGGGTACGCGTGCGTGTGTGTGTGTTCTATTGGGTGCTTGTTACGATGGTGACAGTGGCTCTGATATGGATGTTGATTCTCTCTCCAGGTGTTCTCCAACAGTGATGAAGCTCCCATTAACAAGAAGCTTCCCAAAGAGCTGCTGCTCAGGTTAGTTACACACACACACACACACACACACACACACACTTTAAGCCCTGGGGCAAGCGCTCGCCTCAGGGCTTAATGTGTGAGGTTAATTTATTAAAAAAGGACATGGCTGGCCTCACTTAGCAGACTGTTAACCTTGAGTGGTTAGGTGTGTGTGTGTGTGTCACCTTTTGGGGGCATTGTGTGTAGATGGGTGAGGGGAAAACAAATCTATATAATTCATTTTGAATTCAGGCTGTAATACAACATGTGGAATAAGTCAAAGGGGTATGAATACTTTCTGAAGGCACTGTACTATATATACACACACACACACACACACACACACTCACACAAACAGGATTGTGTGTGTGTGATTTAAAGCGGAACATGGCCTCCACCACGCCCATCAGCCAGTCAGAGAGCCGATCGATCAGCTCTCAGCTGATTGTTCAGCAGCTCCATTAACCACTGATCAATGAGGTGTGTGTGTGTACATGACATGTGCCCCAACATTCCCTAGCTGACCCCACACACACACAGCCTTTGTCTCTGTCCATGAGAGGGAATACTGGAAAGTGCTAGTTTCCTGAGAGTGTGTGAGGGTCGGGGTGGGAGGTTGTGTGAGGGTCGGGGTGGGAGGTTGTGTGAGGGTCGGGGTGGGAGGTTGTGTGAGGGTCGGGGTGGGAGGTTGTGTGAGGGTCGGGGTGGGAGGTTGTGTGAGGGTCGGGGTGGGAGGTTGTGTGAGGGTCGGGGTGGGAGGTTGTGTGAGGGTCGGGGTGGGAGGTTGTGTGAGGGTCGGGGTGGGAGGTTGTGTGAGGGTCGGGGTGGGAGGTTGTGTGGGATTAAAGGATAACTAATAGGAGGAACTGTCTGTGTGTGACCTAACCCACTGGCTTACCCTGTTGGCTAATAGCTACATGCTAACTCAATTGGCCTATTCCTCATGCTATTGCTAAATTGACAGGCCAGTCTTTGTAAAACTATAAGAATGCTCTTTGTCTCTCTGTAGAATCTTCTCCAATCTGGATGTGATCACATTGTGCAGGTGTGCCCAGGTGTCCAAGGTAAGGCCCACCCCTACAGACATTACAGACTGACTGGTATCATAACTACTCAGTGTGATTTGTAGAGCAATCAGTCGTCAAGGTTCCTCGTCATGTTTAACGCGCCCTACTGAAATCAAATCATATCTTTTTCGTCACATGCTTCGTTTAACAACAGATGTAGACTAACTAAATGCTTAGTTACGGCCCTTCCCAACAATGCAGAGAATAATAACAACAAGGAATAAATACACAACGAATAACGATAACATGGCTATATACACAGGGTAGCAGTACTGTGTCTATGTGCTGAGAACATGGCTATATACACAGGGTAGCAGTACTGTGTCAATGTGCTGATAACATGGCTATATACACAGGGTAGCGGTACTGAGTCTATGTGCAGGGGTATGAGGTGATAACATGGCTATATACACAGGGTAGCAGTACTGAGTCAATGTGCAGGGGTACGAGGTGATAACATGGCTATATACACAGGGTAGCGGTACTGAGTCTATGTGCAGGGGTACGAGGTGATAACATGGCTATATACACAGGGTAGCGGTACTGAGTCTATGTGCAGGGGTACGAGGTGATAACATGGCTATATACACAGGGTAGCAGTACTGTGTCTATGTGCAGGGGTATGAGGTGATAACATGGCTATATACACAGGGTAGCAGTACTGAGTCAATGTGCAGGGGTACGAGGTGATAACATGGCTATATACACAGGGTAGCAGTACTGAGTCAATGTGCAGGGGTACGAGGTGATAACATGGCTATATACACAGGGTAGCAGTACTGAGTCAATATGCAGGGGTATGAGGTGATAACATGGCTATACACACAGGGTAGCAGTACTGAGTCAATATGCAGGGGTATGAGGTGATAACATGGCTATATACACAGGGTAGCAGTACTGAGTCAATATGCAGGGGTATGAGGTGATAACATGGCTATATACACAGGGTAGCAGTACTGAGTCTATGTGCAGGGGTACGAGGTGATAACATGGCTATATACACAGGGTAGCAGTACTGAGTCAATGTGCAGGGGTACGAGGTGATAACATGGCTATACACAGGGTAGCAGTACTGAGTCAATGTGCAGGGGTACGAGGTGATAACATGGCTATATACACAGGGTAGCAGTACTGAGTCTATGTGCAGGGGTACGAGGTGATAACATGGCTATATACACAGGGTAGCAAAAAAGTATTTAGTCAGCCACCAATTGTGCAAGTTCTCCCACTTAAAAAGATGAGAGAGGCCTGTAATTTTCACCATAGGTACACGTCAACTATGACTAGGATTTTTAATGAATTTATTTGCATATTATGGTGGAAAATAAGTATTTGGTCAATAACAAAAGTTTCTCAATACTTTGTTATATACCCTTTGTTGGCAATGACACAGGTCAAACGTTTTCTGTAAGTCTTCACAAGGTTTTCACACACTGTTGCTGGTATTTTGGCCCATTCCTCCATGCAGATCTCCTCTAGAGCAGTGATGTTTTGGGGCTGTCGCTGGGCAACAGACTTTTAACTCCCTCCAAAGATTTTCTATGGGGTTGAGATCTGGAGACTGGCTAGGCCACTCCAGGACCTTGAAATGCTTCTTACGAAGCCACTCCTTCGTTGCCCGGGCGGTGTGTTTGGGATCATTGTCATGCTGAAAGACCCAGCCACGTTTCATCTTCAATGCCCTTGCTGATGGAAGGAGGTTTTCACTCAAAATCTCACGATACATGGCCCCATTCATTCTTTCCTTTACACGGATCAGTCGTCCTCGTCCCTTTGCAGAAAAACAGCCCCAAAGCATGATGTTTCCACCCACATGCTTCACAGTAGGTATGGTGTTCTTTGGATGCAACTCAGCATTCTTTGTCCTCCAAACACGACGAGTTGAGTTTTTACCAAAAAGTTCTATTTTGGTTTCATCTGACCATATGACATTCTCCCAATCCTCTTCTAGATCATCCAAATGCACTCTAGCAAACTTCAGACGGGCCTGGACATGTACTGGCTTAAGCAGGGGGACACGTCTGGCACTGCAGGATTTGAGTCCCTGGCGGCGTAGTGTGTTACTGATGGTAGGCTTTGTTACTTTGGTCCCAGCTCTCTGCAGGTTATTCACTAGGTCCCCCCGTGTGGTTCTGGGATTTTTGCTCACCGTTCTTGTGATCATTTTGACCCCACGGGGTGAGATCTTGCGTGGAGCCCCAGATCGAGGGAGATTATCAGTGGTCTTGTATGTCTTCCATTTCCTAATAATTGCTCCCACAGTTGATTTCTTCAAACCAATCTGCTTACCTATTGCAGATTCAGTCTTCCCATCCTGGTGCAGGTCTACAATTTTGTTTCTGGTGTCCTTTGACAGCTCTTTGGTCTTGGCCATAGTGGAGTTTGGAGTGTGACTGTTTGAGGTTGTGGGCAGGTGTCTTTTATACTGATAACAAGTTCAAACAGGTGCCATTAATACAGGTAATGAGTGGAGGACAAAGGAGCCTCTTAAAGAAGAAGTTACAGGTCTGTGAGAGCCAGAAATCTTGCTTGTTTGTAGGTGACCAAATACTTATTTTCCACCATAATTTGCAAAGAAATTCATTAAAAATCCTACAATGTGATTGTCTGGATTTTTTTTCCTCAATTTGTCTGTCATAGTTGACGTGTACCAATGATGAAAATTACAGGCCTCTCATCTTTTTAAGTGGGAGAACTTGCACAATTGGTGGCTGACTAAATACTTTTTTTCCCCACTGTACACAGGGTAGCAGTACTGTGTCCATGTGCAGGGGTACGAGGTAATTGAGGTAGATATGTACATATAGGTAGGGGTAAAGTGACTAGGCAACAGGATAGACAAACAGTAACAGCAGCGTATGTGATGAGTCAAAAGAGTTTATGCAAAGAGGGTCAATGCATATAGTCCAGGTAGCTATTTGGTTAATTATTTAGCAGTCTTATGGCTTGGGGGTAGAAGCTGTTCAGGGTCCTGTTGGTTCCAGACTTGCCATGCGGTAGCAGATCGAACCGTCTGTAACTTGGGTGGCTGGAGTCTTTAGGGCCTTCCTCTGACACCGCCCTCTGTAGCGCCTTGCGGTCGGATGCCGAGCAGTTGCCATACCAAGCGGTGATGCAGCCAGTCAAGATGCTCACAATGGCGCAGCTGTAGAAGTTTGTGACGATCTGAGGGCCCATGCCAAATATTTTAAGCCTCCTGAACACAGCCCTGCTGTGTGGTGTATGACTGATAACACCATCACACTCTCTCTTCCTCTCTCTCCCCATATCTCTCTCTTTCTCTCTCTCTCTCTCTCTCTCCTCTCAGGCGTGGAATGTCCTGGCCTTGGATGGTAGTAACTGGCAGAAGATTGACCTGTTCAACTTCCAGACAGACATAGAGGTGAGAGGTCAGGGGAGGTGATCCTACATATACACATTCGTAGGTCTCTCTCTCCTCTCTCTCTCTCTCTCCCTACTCTCTGTCTCTCTCTCTCCATTAATGTTTGTGTAATGAATGAAGACTGGTTAAAAATTCTCTCCACTCCTCCTCTCTCTAGGGTAGAGTAGTGGAGAACATCTCCAAGCGATGTGGAGGCTTCCTAAGGCAGCTGAGTTTGAGGGGATGTCTCAGTGTGGGAGACGCATCCATGAAGTGAGTCCTTCTCCATAGGGCCTCTTACACTCTTAGTATAACCAACTCACTGTGGTTCATAGGGATGTAACGATTCACCGATAGGCATCGGTCCCCGATTCAAATGTTTAAGATGCAACTGCATCGGTCTGCGGACCCCAAACTGATCCAAATGTAGCATGCATCGGTCAGAAAATCGATTCAAACATTACAAATCGGTGATTCACCTTCCAGAAATACCTTATCTTTTGTGACAACTGATGCGTCCTCTCCTTCAGTGTCGAAACTGCATGTAACTGTGTTGACAGTCATTGATCTACAAGTCATTTAGCGTGCCGACCAACCACAGGGAATATCAGTAGCCTAGTACATAATAGTACTTAGCCAAATACTTAATCTGCAAAGATGACAAGTTATTTAGTGGGTGATGGTGATTTCAGAACCAAAGTGGGGGGACAAAAAACAGGCTACATTGACTAGATGCCAAGTCTCCCTTACGGCTCAGATCAGTACATACACCATAGACATACAGGGCCTTCAGAAAGTATTCATACCCCTTGACTTATTCCACATTTTGTTGTTACAGCCTGAGTTCAAAATGGATTAATACCCCATAATACACACAATACCCCATAATGACAAAGTGAAAACATATTTTTGCAAATTTATTGAAAATGAAATACAGAAATATCTCATTTACCTAAGTATTCACATCCCTGAGTCAATACATGTTAGAATTTCCTTTGGCAGCGATTACAGCTGTGAGTCTTTCTGGGTAAGTCTCTAAGAGCTTTGCACACCTGGATTGTAAAATATTTGCACTTTTTCTTTTTTTTTTATTCTTCAAGCTCTGTCAAATTGGTTGTTGATCATTGTTAGACAACCATTTAACTCTTGCCATAGATGTTCATGCCAATTTAAGTCAAAACTGTAATTATGCCACTCAGGAACATCCAATGTCGTCTTGGTAAGCAACTCCATTGTATATTTGGGCTTGTGTTTTAGGGGTTTGTCCTGCTGAAAGGTGAATTTGTCTCTCAGTGTCTGATGGAAAGCAGACTGAACCAGGTTTTCCTCTAGGATTTTGCCTGTGCTTATCTCTATTTTGTTTATTTTTATCCTAAAAAACTCCCTAGTCCTTGCAGATGACAAGCATACCCATAACATGATGCAGCCACCACCATGCTTGAAAATATGAAGAGTGGTACTCAGTTTTGTGTTGTGTTGGATTTGCCCTAAACATAATGCTTTGTATTCAGGACATAGTTACTTTCTTTGTCAAATTTTTTAGCAGTTTTACTTTAGTGCCTTATTGCAAACAGGATGCATGTTTTGGAATATTTGTATTCTGTACAGACTTCTTTCTTTTCACTTTGTCATTTAGGTTAGTATAGTGGAGTAACTACAATGTTGTTGATCCATCATCAGTTTTCTCCTATCACAGCCATTAAACTCTGTAACTGTTTTAAAGTCACCATTGGCCTCATGGTGAAATCCCTGAGCGGTTTCCTTCCTCTCCGGCAAAGTGTAACCATCCAAAGTGTAATTATTAACTTCACCATGCTCAAAAGGGATATTCAATGTCTGCTTTTTATAATTTTTTTACCCATCTACCAATAGGTGCCCTTCTTTGCGAGGCATTGGAAAACTTCCCTGGTCTTTGTTGTTGAATCTGTGTTTGAAATGCACTGCTCAACTGAGGGACCTTACAGATAATTGTATGTGTGGGGTACAGAGATGAGGTAGTCATTCAAAAATCATGTTAAACACTATTATTGCACACAGAGTGAGTACATGCAACTTATTATGTGACTTGTTAAGACATTTTTACTCCGGAATTTAGTTAGGCTTGCAGTATGAAAATGTATGCACTCACTAACTGTAAGTTGTTCTGGATAAGAGCGTCTGCTAACTGACTAAAATGTAAAATGTAAATAACAAAAGGGTTGAATACTTATTGACTAGTGCTGAGCGATTAGTGCATTTTGAGGTAGGTTCTGTTTCGGTTCGATTATTTAAAAAATAAAAGGATTTCGGTTTCGATAAAAAAAATTAAAACATTAAATGCATTATGTGGGTTGAACGCTGTAACAACACAGAATAAAACAATGAATAAAAGTCCCATGATGGTAGTATGTATTTTCAGATGCCTCGCGAAGCAACAGCTAGCTGCTCTCTATATCACCTCAGGGTCGCGTGTTCTTCTCTCTTCAGTAGCAGGCGTAAAAGAGAAACACCGACCGGACAAGTAAATGCACAATGGATTATGGTCATTGTAGTTAATTACCAAGTTTTATGTGCTAAACCTATGTAGAATATTGGCCTTTTGGAAACTACAATTCCCTACTACAATCGCACAGTTCAGGCTGGATCTGATTTAAATCTAGAGAAACTGTGTGATGTGCGCATTGAGCTCACAAAAAAAACCCAGAACAAAATGACATTCAAATAATTGAACAGACATCGGTCAATTCGTTGTTTTAAAAAACGAAAAAATAACAAATGTTGGTTAATCGCTCAGCATTATTATTGACTCAAGACATTTCAGCTTTTCATTTTTTTTATTTTATTTGGGGAGGGGTGTAGACCAGTGACACATCTCAATTTAATCGATTTTAAATTCAGGCTGTAACACAACAAAAATGTGGAAAAAGTCAAGGGGTGTGAATACTTTCTGAATACACACACACACAGAAGCCAGCTCAGAGAGGCCGAGCTCATGATCTCCATCAACAACAGATTTTAATTTAGGATGGAAAATAAGTGTTTATGCAACAAATGTTAGTGCGTCGAATCATATCGCCTCGAACCGAATCGCATCGTTTCGTTCCTCTAATCAAACCGAATCACACCGAAATATTTTCTAACTAAAACGTACCGTTCCTGTATCGTATCGGAGCCCATGTATCTAGATACGTATCGAATCGTCTGGAAAGGGAAATATCCCTCGTTATTCAGTTACTTCTCCATGACTCTGGTATTTGTATACCTATGATGACTCTGTCGCCTGTCAGGACGTTTTCCCAGAACTGCCGTAACATTGAGGTGTTGAACCTGAACGGCTGCACTAAGATCACAGACAGCACCTGCCTCAGCCTCTCCAAGTTCTGCTGCAAACTCCGACAGCTGGACCTCACCTCCTGTGTGTCTGTTACCAACCACTCCCTCAAAGCTCTCAGGTCAGTGTCCTAAACGGTTCCCTGTGTAGTGCACCACTTCTGGCCAAGGGTCAAGGGTTGCACTTTATTTTACGCTCCAGAAGTTACAAAAGGTATTTACTAGAAGGGTAAAATGGTACATAATGGTTACATAGTAATAACCAATAAATTACAAGTTTCTTTCTTTAGGATTCATTACAACAAACACCATTTATTACCAGGTACAACAAATCCCCCATTGTTACCATATCATTACCGGGTACAACAAATCCCCCATTGTTACCATATCATTACCAGGTACAACAAATCCCCCATTGTTACCATATCATTACCAGGTACAACAAATCCCCCATTGTTAGCATATCATTACCGGGTACAACAAATCCCCCATTGTTACCATATCATTACCGGGTACAACAAATCCCCCATTGTTAGCATATCATTACCGGGTACAACAAATCCCCCATTGTTACCATATAATTACCGGGTACAACAAATCCCCCATTGTTAGCATATCATTACCGGGTACAACAAATCCCCCATTGTTAGCATATCATTACCGGGTACAACAAATCCCCCATTGTTAGCATATCATTACCGGGTACAACAAATCCCCCATTGTTAGCATATCATTACCGGGTACAACAAATCCCCCATTGTTAGCATATCATTACCGGGTACAACAATTCCCCCATTGTTACCATATCATTACCGGGTACAACAAATCCCCCATTGTTAGCATATCATTACCGGGTACAACAATCCCCCATTGTTACAATCATTACGGTACAAATCCCCATGTTAGCTTCAACCGGGTACAACAAATCCCCCATTGTAGTATAAGGCATCCCCATGTTCATATCATTACCGGGTACAACAATTCCCCCATTGTTAGCCATATCATTACCGGGTACAACAATTCCCCCATTGTTACCATATCATTACCGGGTACAACAAATCCCCCATTGTTACCATATCATTACCGGGTACAACAATTCCCCCATTGTTACCATATCATTACCGGGTACAACAATCCCCCATTGTTAGCATATCATTACCGGGTACAACAAATCCCCCATTGTTAGCATATCATTACCGGGTACAACAATCCCCCATTGTTACCATATCATTACCGGGTACAACAAATCCCACATTGTTACCTTATCATTCCAGTGGAAACAGTAACGTAACATGCAGTGTAATACATAGTAAGAAAACAGGGTGTGTGTGTGTGTGTCTCCACTTAGTGATGGCTGTAGTATTTTGGAGACATTGAACCTGTCGTGGTGTGACCAAATCACCAGAGATGGCATCGAGGCTCTGGCCAGGGGCTGTAACAGCCTACGAGGCCTGTTCCTACGTGGCTGCACACAGGTACACACACACACACACACACACACAGACACACACACAAATAAACATGATCGTATTGATTATCAGTAGTGATTAGTTTCTCTGTGTTGTGTTCTGTACAGTTGGAGGACGGAGCACTGAAACACCTCCAGAAACACTGTCCTGAACTAACCACTATCAACATGCAGTCCTGCTCAGTAAGACACAGAGAGAGAGAGAGACGGAGAGTGTGTGTGTGTGTGTGTGTGTGAAAGACAGATAATGTGTGTGTGTTATTTATATGACAGATGATAGCTTGGTGTGTGTGCTTGCGTGTGTATTATGTGTGTGTGTGTTTACAGCAGATAACTGATGATAGCTTGGTGTGTGTGCTTGCGTGTGTAATATGTGTGTGTGTAATATGTGTGTGTGTTTGTGTGTGTGTGTGTGTGTGTGTGTGTGTGTGTGTGTGTGTTTACAGCAGATAACTGATGATGGCTTGGTCACTCTGTGTCGGGGTTGTCACAAGCTGCAGATCCTGTGTGTCTCTGGCTGCAGTAACATTACAGACGCCTCTCTCACCGCTCTGGGTCTCAACTGCCCCCGACTCAAGTAAGAAATGTCCCCCTTTCTCCTCATAATTGTGGATGAGGTCTGCTGATAAACACAATGAGGTCTACTGATAAACACACCATAACGTCCACATAACCAACGCATAACAAATGTGTGTGTATCAGGATCTTGGAGGCTGCACGATGTTCACATGTTACAGACGCTGGGTTTACTGTACTGGCCAGGGTAAGTGCTTCTGTCTTTCTCCTTCTATTTCCATCATGGCATTTCCTCTGTCCTGACTTGTTTCTTCTGTCTTCAAATCTCTTACATGTTAAATTCACAAATCAAAACTGAAAATGTTGACCTGATGTGACTTTTGTTTCAACAGAATTGTCACGAAATGGAAAAAATGGATTTAGAAGAATGTATTTTGGTAAGATTTCATGGGGTTCTTTTCTCGTTGAATGCAACTGTAGATTGAGTCCATCAGCATTTGATTGAGCCTATCTGAGTCTTATGTACTGTATCTGGGTTTGATTGAGCCTGTCTACTCTCACAGGTGACTGACAACACTCTAGTCCAGCTCGCTATTCACTGCCCTCACCTGCAAGCACTGGTACGTACGTGTGTGTGTGTGTGTGTGTGTGTGTGTGTGTGTGTGTGTGTATTACAGTCTGTAATATAATGTCTACTGTCTATCCTCTCTCCCCAGTCTCTCTCCCACTGTGAGCTGATAACTGACGATGGTATCAGGGCGCTGAGCAGCAGTGTGTGTGGACAGGAGCGCCTCACGGTGGTGGAGTTGGATAACTGCCCTCTGATCACAGACGGGACTCTGGAGCACCTGAAGAACTGCCACCGTCTGGAGAGGATAGAACTCTACGACTGCCAGCAGGTCACCAGGGCCGGCATCAAACGCATACGGGTCAGTCGTCAACCATCACTACATCTCCCAAGCTGCATCACTATGGCTGTAATGTCAAAGCTCCTGCATGGCCTGGTGGGAATTGTAGTTTCCTGAAGCTGATGTTGCTCCTATGGAAATAATATAATTACCCACACTCTGTTGTATTATACTCCTATACAGTTTATTACAACGTTGCAGGCTGTCAAATGAAATAAATGGGAGAATATACAACAATGTGAAAAATTGTTGGATGTGCATATGCTACGTTTGAAATGACGTAGCTCCTCCGTCTCCCTATAGGCCCATCTGCCAGAGATAAAAGTCCACGCCTACTTTGCCCCGGTGACCCCGCCTCCCTTGGTGCACGGCGGTGGCCATAGGCTGTGTCGCTGCTGCATCATCCTCTGACAGTGGAGGGCCAGGGGGGGGCAACTCTGCCTACAGGTCCTACTGCTGTGACCCCCCCCCTCACTACTGGTCACTACTGATCTCTGATTAATACCCTGGACATGGACCCCCCATCACTACTGGTCACTACTGATCTCTGATTAATACCCTGGACATGGACCCCCCCATCACTACTGGTAACTACTGATCTCTGATTAATACCCTGGACATGGACCCCCCCATCACTACTGATTTCGGATCAATACCCTGGACATGGACCCCCCCCATCACTACTGGTCACTACTGATCTCTGATCAATACCCTGGACATGGACCCCCCCCCATCACTACTGGTCACTACTGATCTCTGATCAATAACCTGGACATGGACCCCCCATCACTACTGATCTCTGATCAATACCCCGACATGGACCCCCCCATCACTACTGTTCACTACTGATCAATACCCTGGACATAGACCCCCCATCACTACTGGTCACTACTGATCTCTGATCAATACCCTGGACATACCCCCATCACTACTGGTCCACTTCACTGATCTCCTATCCAATACCCTCCACATACCACCCCTCCTACTCCACATACCCTGCTTAGACCCCTCCTCTCAACATACCCTGCCCTTCAGACCCCCCCTCACACTACCTGTCCTTCAGACCTCCTCTCCAACACTAACCTCCCCTTCGAGACACTACTTGAACATCTATCCCCTATCGACCCTCCTCTCCACACTACTCACTTCAGCCCTCCTCCAACACTACCCTCCCCTTCCAGACCCCTCCTCTCCAACACTACCCTCCCCTTCCAGACCCCTCCTCTCCACACTACTCCCCTTCAGACCCTCCTGTCCAACTACCTTCCCTTCCAGACCCCTCCTCTCCAACACTACCCTCCCCTTCCAGACCCCTCCTCTCCAACACTACCCTCCCCTTCCAGACCCCTCCTCTCCAACTCTACCCTCCCCTTCCAGACCCCTCCTCTCCAACCCCTAACTACCCTCCCCTTCCAGACCCCTCCTCTCCAACACTACCCTCCCCTTCCAGACCCCTCCTCTCCAACACTACCCTCCCCTTCCAGACCCCTCCTGTCCAACACTACCCTCCCCTTCCAGACCCCTCCTGTCCAGTACTTGGACTAGTGGATGAGGGGGGATGATCCTAAAGAGGCAGAGGACTAAAACCCACAAAATGGTGGACAGTGTTATTCCCGGAAGGTGGAATGGTACAGAACGTGCACATAGAAGTACGTTGTGTAGAACAGAGTTGACGACGAGCGTTGGTAATCGTGTCAGCTCCATATTTACATTTCTGTCTGCAACGTTTCCACCGTTTTGCCCTTCTAACCATACCCTTGGACAACGCATCACTCTGGGTGGAACTTCATCTCAACCAATCACACGCCACCTCTGTGTGACCGGGCTGCGAGTCAACCTGCTGCGACCAATCGACGTCCAGCTCTGTGGATGTAAAAAGGGAGATTCTGGGAAGTGTAGTGATTCTGGGTTTGAGCAGAGAGGATTCTGGGATAGCCCTTTTTGACTCACGCTACGGAGGAGACACCCCCACCCATCCAGAGGCAAACCAGAAGTACAAAACAGGAAGTACAAAACTGAACATTTTATGTTTTTTTTTGTGCACCTGAGAACCTGCCGTTTGAGACTAAGTTTTTGTTTGTAAGAGAGTGTTTTGCAATGAGGGCAAAGAAAAAGAATTACAATATGGCAACTCACCTTCGGATTGGAGTTGGCCAGTAACAAATTATGATTATTTTCCCTATTTTTCCAGTGCTTATTGTAATTGTCCATGCTTGTCTATCCAGAGGGAGATCAGATCTGTGTATCTCTCCTTTTGAAAATAATGAAAACAAACTGTTACTGTTGGACAAAAATGGACTGTCTCTGTCAGAACACAGCATCTGATGACATCAGGTTGGTTTTGTATGCTACATCACTGGAACGTGTGTACTCCGGGCCTCCTGTGCACTTTGTGGCTGTGGAACACACAGGCCTGGTTCCAAACTGACCCTAGCCCCTTGACCACTAAGAAACTCCTGACTCCCCCTCAATTAAATGTAACGGAGAGGTTTGAGCCTAAGTGATGAACATGTGTCTTTAGATTTTAAAAAAATCTGGAGCAGTGGATTCAAGCAACATGGCGGCAGATACTTCACACAGTTTACCAGACAGATACTTCACACAGTTTACCATACAGATACTTCACACAGTTTACCATACAGATACTTCACACAGTTTACCAGACAGATACTTCACACAGTTTACCAGACAGATACTTCACACAGTTTACCAGACAGATACTTCACACAGTTTACCAGACAGATACTTCACACAGTTTACCGTACAGATACTTCACACAGTTTACCGTACAGATACTTCACACAGTTTACCGTACAGATACTTCACACAGTTTACCATACAGATACTTCACACAGTTTACCGTACAGATACTTCACACAGTTTACCGTACAGATACTTCACACAGTTTAACCGTACAGATACTTCACACAGTTTACCGTACAGATACTTCACACAGTTTACCACAGTACTTCACACAGTTTACAACAGATACTTCCACATTTACGTACATACTTCACCAGTTTACGATACAGATACTTCACACGTTTACCATAAAAACTCACACAGTTACCAGACAGATCTTCACAAGTTGACAACAGATACTTCACATCATTACCGATCAGAATACTTCAGTTTACCAGCAATCACTCAACAGTTTACCATACATACTTCAACAGTTTACCAGACATCTTCACACAGTTTACCAGACAGATACTTCCACGTTTACCTACAGATCTTCAACAGTTACCAGACAGATATTTCAACATTTACCTACAGATACTCAACAGTTTACAAAGATACTTCACACAGTTTAGCCAACAGATGACATTCCACAGTTTCCATACAGAACTCAAACATTACCAGACAGATCTTCACACAGTTTACCGACAGATACTTCACACAGTTTACCATACAGATACTTCACACAGTTTACCAGACAGATACTTCACACAGTTTACCAGTACAGATACTTCACACAGTTTACCTACAGATACTTCACACAGTTTACCAGACAGATACTTCATACAGTTTACCAACAGATACTTCACACAGTTTACCAGACAGATACTTCACACAGTTTACCAGACAGATACTTCACACAGTTTACCATACAGATACTTCATACAGTTTACCGTACAGATACTTCAACAGTTTACCAGACAGATAACTTCATCAACAGTTTACCATACAGATACTTCACACAGTTTACCATACAGATACTTCATACAGTTACCAACGATACTTCACACAGTTTACCATACAGATACTTCACACAGTTTACCAGACAGATACTTCACACAGTTTACCAGTACAGATACTTCACACAGTTTACCAGTACAGATACTTCACACAGTTTACCAGACAGATACTTCACACAGTTTACCGTACAGATACTTCACACAGTTTACCAGACAGATACTTCACACAGTTTACCAGACAGATACTTCACACAGTTTACCGTACAGATACTTCACACAGTTTACCGTACAGATACTTCACACAGTTTACCAGACAGATACTTCACACAGTTTACCAGACAGATACTTCACACAGTTTACCAGACAGATACTTCACACAGTTTACCGTACAGATACTTCACACAGTTTACCAGACAGATACTTCACACAGTTTACCAGACAGATACTTCACACAGTTTACCAGACAGATACTTCACACAGTTTACCAGACAGATACTTCACACAGTTTACCGTACAGATACTTCATACAGTTTACCAGACAGATACTTCACACAGTTTACCAGACAGATACTTCACACAGTTTACCAGACAGATACTTCATACAGTTTACCATACAGATACTTCACACAGTTTACCAGACAGATACTTCATACAGTCTACCAGATGGAGATTGAGGTCAAGATATGGACCGCTATGTTACTGTTATCTACCATGTAATCTCTTGTGGACAGATGCGCATAACATAACTGGTATCGTAGCATCTGTCAACAGACTGTGGGTTGCGACGACTAACGATGAACTTCGTTCCGGTGCGCAGATCTCTTTCATCACTGGTAATTTGGACAAATCACGATTTTGCAGGTGTTAGCATCTTTCGAATTTCGGAAGAGTAGGGGATATTTGGCCCATACACCTCTCCCGTAACTTGCAAAGAGAGGGGGGTGGAGCTCCTAGTTCTGCTTCCGCTCCTCGTTCTAGTATATTTTCTAACACATCTTCCCCCAGAACTTAATCGAGCATCTAACGCAATTGCACAAGATTTTTCATTCTGGGTGTCCGAGATTACATACCTTGTGCTTTCAGGTGTTCCGGGGCTAAGGGAAGGGGTCAGGGCTAGGGGCCAGTCGTGGGTTTGGGACAAGGCCTGTCTGTGTGTAGTCTCGGACAGACAGAGGCGTGTAGTATATAATATGGGTGTTTGACTCGGATGCTGCTGGTTCTAGGCCGTGTTCTAGGCCATAAAACTGACTGACCTCCAGGGTTGGGGTCAGTTCTTTATTAATTCAGTCTTTGAATTTAAATGGAATTGATCCTAACCCTGCTGACCTCACTGTGTGGCAGTGATACTAATGCCTCTCTTTGACAGTTTATCTAACAGGAGCTTTATGTTGAAGAAAATAAATAAATAAATAAATAATAAATATAACAAATAAATCAAAGTAACTGATAGTAAACGTGCTCTGACTGGCGTTACAGTGGAATTTGTTAAAATAAATGTTCTGAGCAGTGCTTCCTCTGTTATTCACTGTGTGTGTGTGTGTGTGTGTGTGTGTGTGTGATAGCAATGTAATCTTCATCCTGACAAGCAGATGTCGCTGGAGTGCCATGTAAAATATGAGAGGCACACCCAAATCTGGACTCCATCAATATTTTATATCTTCTTCATGTTCAGGTCCTTTTACTTTGAGAAAATATATTGAAATAGAAGTATTATGATTATCCTCAGCCAGGCTGCAATAAGACTAACAACTTCAATAGATTCCTTTTTAAATGAGGGTATGGTTTAATATCCTTTACCAACAAACAGAAAATTTATAAACGGTATAATTATTA